AATGTTGAAAGTTCGTGTACTTTTGTGATAGGAATTAAAGTTTATATACCAAAGTGAAATAATGATGAAAGTTCGTATACCATCGGTGAAATTTACCCTGAACTACATGTTAGATTCATTACTCGAATGACATGTTCCAAAAGTAGGGTTACAATGAAAATAAAATGTCAATCATTAAAGAAAAATTATGTTTGATTACATTATGTGACATGTTTGATATTTAAAACAAAATCTTGTAATATATACTCCCTCCGTCCTATAATGATCTTCCCAGAGCACTATTCCAACTTCACGGGAATTTATATTTATTTGTGTTTTTTCATGGCCTATATGATAAAATAAAATATTCTTGTCACCACTTGTTTTGTTGAATTTTTGGTGTAGTTTTTAAATATGTATGTTTTATTTTTTATTTCTATACCAATATTTAAATAAAATAGATTGAAAAAACTTGGGATTTTTCTTCGTTTTGCGAACCGAGAAGATCATTATAGGACGGAGGGAGTAAATTACAATTACAAATATATTATTTTATGATAAATACTGCATAAATAAACTGACGTGCAACCTAACCACAATAATTTTTAAATATTTAACATTTTGATATCTATGCTAATTTTATATTCTAATTATTTTTTTTGCAAAAGTACTTTTTTGTGTATGAAAAATAACAATTTTTTTTAATCTTAAAGGCATATATTAAGATAACGTAATGACAACGACAACAACAACAATAATAATAACAATTATAATAATTTATAACAACAAGAATTAGAATGCGAATAATATAAAAATACACAATTTTTTATAAATTTTTTTTAATATTTTCCAAATTTTTCTAGTTTTTTCAGTTTCATTTAATTCTTTCCAGTTTCTCCCACTTCATTCTAGTTTCTTTCAGTTTCTTCCAACATCCAACTCTTTTTTTCCCGTCTTAAAGAACTGACTCTTAATAGTGTAATAGTGAAGTAGCTCTTACTATGTAACTTTCGAGTTTCGACGCTCAACATGGGTCATATAGAGAGACAATTCTATGTTTTAAATATAGGGTCAGATTAGAGGTGTTCATTCGGATATATCCAATCCGATCCGGTTTTTTGGATATCCAAAATTTTCAGATCAGTAAATATCTATTCCATTTCCGATCTGAAAATTACCGGATACCCGGATTTCGGATATGCAAAATTTCAGATCAGATCAATGGAATATCTATGGAATATCTGGAATTTTTTTTTGAATTTTTATTTTTTCCAATAATTCTAAAAAAGTATTTAGAATGATTTTTTATTTGTTAAAATAGTAGAGATCATAAATTAGACTTGAATTTGAAGCCAACTCTATTTTAAATGTCATAGTTACCTTGATTGTGTTATCATAAGTCATAATTTTATAAATGTATGAAAAAAAGAATATCAACATAATTGACAAATAAAACATAGACAAAAAGACTAAAGTTAAAAACTTCAATTAATCTTAGATTCAATATTTATGATGATGAAAATGAGTTGGGCTTAAGTTGTCTAAGCTTTATTGTTATATTTATTTTTTTTAAATATGAACTTCGGATATCCATGGATATCTGAAATCTTAATATTTCATTCCATATCCGATCCAAATTTTTTTGGATATCTGATCCGAAGTATCCGAAAGCCCGGAACATGGACGGGTATTTCGGATAAGATATTTTTGAACACCCCTGGACTGCATACAACCGACTTAGACTGCATACATCCGACTTCCCCTTACCCCGCAATGAGTGGGAGTCTCTGAGGCACTGAGGTAATGTTTTTGTTGTTTGGGTTATGATGAGCCTATCATACATTTAATTCTGCATTCCTCTTTAATTAACCTCAATTGCTTTATAACCCTAATTGATTAAGTATCTTAAATGGCAGATAAGTGTGTGTGTGTGAATGTATGTATGTAGGATTGTTTATATCTCTCTAACATGATCTCACAAATAACCCTCTAACCCTAGGGTTAATCTCTTAATACACTAGAGAATTAGGATAAACATTAACACTAAACAATTCATGTGGATCATGTATAGACATAATCACAATCAACCATCACAAAGTGTATATTAGACCCCTTTTGTCGAAATCCCTTATTCCTTTACTTGTCAACCTTTGGAAACGATTGAACAAGATAGAAGCGCTAGTGATTAAAACAAGAACACAATCCAACAAGAAGATTAGAACATAAAAAGAATTGATATTATGATAAAGTATTCAGATATTCTTCCCTCTCTTAAAGGGGCTAATCGAATGCAAAAAATGATCTAAAGTTTCGAGCTAGGTATCATAGTTGTTAAGGCGTCGTCTAGGCGATGAGGTGCTATATCGTGGACCAGTGTTCAAAATTACGTATTGTGGTTTTGAGACATTTTAATGTTATGGTGTATGGCATATGCCTCAAGGCGTAAGCCTCAATTTTAAATTTTTGAAATGTGCATTTAACATTTTAAAAAATGAAAATTGACCCGGGGGCTCTCTGATGCTCCTATATATATATATATATATATATATATATATATATATAGGTTTGACTCAAGTCAAATGACACCTTATGGTTCGATGATGAGACTACGTAAAACGCATCACTACCCACTACAAAGCTCACCAAGCTATAAGGCAAAGCTCACTTTTTTTTCCACATTTCATTTTTTTCTAAAAAAATCAGAGTAGACTTTGACTCATGTTGACTGGACTTTGACCGCCACCTGCCTCCGTCATCCGCTACCGGCCACCCGTCACCAGTCACCGCAGCCTACCGCCGTCATTCGCTGTCGGTTGCTCGTCGCCGCAGTCCCGTGCCGCCACTTGTTGCTAGTCGCTGCTGACCGATGGTTGACCGGTGTTGCTATTTTATCTTTAATTAAAATATTTAATTTTTAAAGTTTAGAAAGAAAGTGGGTTTTGTTGTTCAAAGTGGTGAGTTTTGCTTTAATTCAAGGTGAGCTTTGCATTGGCAATTGATGAGTTTTGTAGTTGTCAGTGGTATGCTTTGCCTTATATATATGTGTGTGTGTGTGTGTGTGTGTGTATATATATATATATGTATATATCTATATATGTATATAGGGGCCGGTTCCCGTGAGAATGCACCTTGTGGAGAGAAATGAGAATAAAATCTAGCCGTCGGATCTGATGCATCGTGCGGCTCAGATTGCATCCTGCGCTCAGATTTTGAGATAGTGCATTTTCGAAGGTTTATGATGCATTTCAACGTGATGCATTTTTGCACCATTTTGGTGCATCTAATTTTGATGAAATCTTGACCCTTAGATCTCACAATCTAAAGCACCAGATTCATTCTCATTTCTCTCCTAAGATTGCATTCTCACCAGAACCAAAATCTATGTATATATATATATATGTATATATCTATATATGTATATATATATATATATATATATATATATATATATATATATATATATATACTCCCTCCGTCCCACTCTCTTTGTCCACTTACCCTTTGGCACACCATCCAATGCAATTCTTTAATCCATTTTATCTTGTAATTTGTATATTAAAAAATTATAGAAATTAGATATTAATAATCTATATGTTAAGACAAATCAAACAAGATCACACATGACTATATTTAGGCTTACACATTGAGAGAATTTGATGAGTCAAAGTGCTTAGATGAACAGTTTCAAAAGTCAAAAGTGGACAAAGAGAGTGAGACAGAGGTAGTATAAAATATATATATATATATATATATATATATATATATATATATATATATATATATATATATATATATATTATATATATATATATATAAGACCTTTCCCTGTTGGGCTCGGGGTTTGGGTTTAGTTAATTAGTTATTTCAACTTGTTAGAGTTGAGCAAAAGCTTTCCAACCGTGTGGATCAGAAATCTGTGTGGATGCAGTTAGTTTTGTTTTTATGAAGTTGGAAACCTAAGCCGATGTTGTTAGTTTTGTTATTATAAAATGCAGGAAAAAAACATACTATTGGCATGGAATTATTTGCCCACATGGAATCCGTGGAGGAGGTATTACACTCATATTTTCTCATTGCTATTGTATTTCTCAAAAGGGTTAATTTTTACCTAGTTACACATTGTTGACATACGGAGTATATATTTTAATATCCCCTCCCATTTGTATTGAAGTATACACTTTGATTCTCAGTGTTTTAAGAGAAGTGATATGGGTGTTGTTGGATTTTGTGTAGTAGAAATTAAAAAGTTATGATCCACTTATTCCTTTCTTTTCTTTTTTTCAGAACTGAATGTGCAGTATATTACTTCACCATCCAAACAATTACAAAGAACTAGATACAATCACAAAGCCCTCACAACTACGAAGCGCCCTCCTTCATAGTGCAACCTCTTATATTTCAAAAATCTAGCTAAATGGAATATGACAAAACTAACAGCTTCTTCAACACAAATATTTTTTCTATGAAATTTATGATTCCGGGCTCTCCAAATACCATAGCAACATACAGCCCAGATGGTTATTGTGATACCTTTAGCCTTCTTCTCCTTGATCTTCATAACAGACTCCCCATTTTCTCAGAAATTCGCAGCAGCAATATTGCTATTCAAGTATCTCAATACCCTTTGGAAAACTGTCACTGCATAAGAACATATCCATAAAAGCTAAGTATCAGTTTCAGACGCATTACCACAAAGCACACAATGGGTATCTATATTCATGAATAATCCAAAAAATAAAATGAAATTTAGGTGGGGTCAAATATTCCACGCCCAATCCTTCCATATAGGGATCTCTTTCTCCCGAAGCCATAGATACCTCTTCTTGATCTGGTAATCCATCACTCTTGCCATATCCCTGAAAGCCTGTGACTTTAATTAGCTGCTTCCAGTAATGAGCTGCATCTGTTTTGGGAATGTAATCCCAGAAAGAACTGGATTTAATGTTCATGCTGTGCCCCCACTTGACCCAAAGAATATCCTTTTTAGCAGCCACATCCCAGCTCAGCTTTATCACCGCTGCATTATTCCAATTTTTAACATCTTTAATTCCCAATCCTCCATAATTCTTGGGGAGGCGGATACCCTCCCAGTGGACTAAGGGGACATTTTTATATTCCAGTGAACGGCTCCATAGGAAATTTTGACAGGCACTTTGAATCTTATTTAACACAGACTTAGGGAGAATAAAAAATCTAGACCAGAAACTTATTACTTCCATAAGAACATCATTGATTAACCTGATCCTTGCACTGTAAGAAAAGTGTCTAGAGCTCCAAACAGTAATGTTGCCAGTAATTTTATTAACCAGTCTTTCACAACCAACACCTTTGAGCGTAGATGCAGTAACAGGACTACCTACATAAGTAAAGGGTAGTTTACCTTTCCTCATCCAAGTGATCTGCAAAAGCTCATTCTGCCTTAGTGAACAACAATAAGATCATCAGCAAAAGGAAGGTAATTGATCTTCAAACTCGCTCACATTGGATGATATTTAAACCCCTCATTGCTAGCCAGACTCTGAAACAGCCTAGTGAGATAGTCCATGACTAGGACAAATATGTGTGGTGAAATGGTGTCACCCTGTCTTATGCCTTTACCCACACAGAAATACCCATGCTGCTTCCCATTAATAATAATGGTGTATGTAGGAGTAGTGATACAAAACATAATCCATTTAATAAAAAAATCAGGATACTTAAGACATATGAGAATATCCCTCATGGCATCCCAACTAATAGGCCATACGCCTTTTTGATATCCAGCTTAAGCGTGCATGTGGGAGAAATTTCCTCTCTATTATAGGTCTTAGCTATTTCCTAACACATCAAGACATCATGCAATAACTGTCTTTCAGGTACAAACGCCCCTTGGTTCAAATTAACAATATGATGAAGGACAGCCTTTAATCTAGTACAGATCATCTTAGATATGAACTTGTAAAGAACATTGAAACATGCCATTGGTCTAAAGTCTGCAGGTCCCATAGGATTATCCATCTTAGGAATAACTGTGATACAAGTAGAATTTACCTGTTTGAGAAATTTTCCTGTCATAAAGAACTCGAGGACAGCTTTAGTAAAAAGGTTCTCCACTGTTTTACAAAGATTTAAAGTATCCTCTATTGAAACCATCCGGGTCAGGACTCTTCTCATTAGGAATACCAAATAGAGCATTCTTGACTTGCTGAGGGTTAAACTATGTAATGAGTTCAATCTGCTGCTCAACATTCAGACTCATACCACTAGCAAAGTGTTCTCTATGAATACGTTGAGTAGCAGGAGTACCCATAAGTCTTACTGCACAATAACTTGAGGAACCGCTTCAGTCCCCTCAACCTAGTACCAACCTCATTCTGGATGGATGAGATGTAATTCTGAGTCTTCCTCTTCTTAACCCAAGCAAAGAAATCTTTAGAACTTTGATCCCCTTCAGTTACCCTTCCACTGTTTTTTCAGTTGACATTTTAACTCATAAGAAGCCTTAATCTTTGAGTGCAGCTCTCTTGGCATCTCTTTCTCCTTATCTATCAGAAACTGATTTTGAGGATTACTTTTCATATCTTCTTGAATCTTCAGAAGCTCCTCTCTAGCTCTATCCACTTGATTGTGAATCATATAGAATTTATCCTTATGCAACTTCTTAAGTGGGGATTTTAGTTTCTTCATTCTGAGTGAATTGAAACATTCTCCTCTCATTCAAATTTAACTTTCCAATACATAGTTAGAATTTGCTTAAACAATGGGTTCTCAATCAAAATAATACAGAACCTAAAGCACTTAGCCCTATTCTTCCACTGTATCGAAGTTAAAATGAGAGGAGTGTGATAAGATACTCCCTCATTTGTCACAATTGTTTTAGCTCTAGATCTCATCATCCAGTCAACATTAGACAAAGCTCTATCAATTTTAGAAAAATCTCATCATCCAATCAACATTAGACAAAGCTCTATCAATTTTAGAAAATATCCTTTGTCCAGCAGCTTGTTTGTTATTCCAGGTATAATAGGAACCACAAAAAGGAATTTCTTCCAACCCACACTCAACCATACAGTCACTAAAATCCTTCATCTCTTCTTCAGTAAAAGGAATGCCCCCCCCCATTATGTCTTCCACATTAAGGTCAACATTGAAATCTCCAACTACGCACCAAGGCCCTACCAGAGTATTAGTAATCTCCTTAAGTTCCTTCCACATATCTTATCTATTCCCACAATCATTGAAAGCATAGATAAAAGTGACATAGTTACAATCACTCTCACCTATGTTTCTAATTAGACAATGGACAGCCTGAGCATATGATCTCTCAATTTGAACCATTAGTTAATTATTGTCCCACACTACTAATAACAGAAGTGTGTAAGAGAAGTGTGATGTTTTTTCTTTATGGTTGAAAAAGTAAAGTGTAAACTTCATTGTGATATGGTGGGAGTAATCTTGTTTTTATGTACTCCGTATTATTTTAAAAAGGAACTTTCACTGTTTCCCCCACCCCCTACCAAATAATATGTACTTATTTCTCTCTTTCATATCAATTACAATTTCCAACCACATAAATTTTACTTTTTAACACTTAACTTTAAACTCAGTGTCTCATAAGAGTGGATTTTTAATTCGGGACAAAAGGGTACTTCATAGATACACTAGTGAGCCATATTTTCAACCAATCCGATCTAAATGTACATAATGTTTAAATTGCTTACGAAGTGGTGTGGCAATGAAATTTGATGCCTTGACAATAATGTGTATGTGAATGCTAGCTTAGCTATATGAGACAAAATACAACCCTTGTTTAGAAATGTGATCTGTTATTTGTTGTTGTATTGTCATTTATGTGAATGATTTTTTTTGCTAGCAAGACAATTACATAACAAAATATGTACAAGTCATCAAAATCTGCCATCATTTCACCCCCAAGCAATTCACATGCACATTAATTTGTTTGTGTTACATTAAAATCGTATGGGTTGAAATGATGCTCACTCCCGCATATAAATGAAGTAGGAATTATTGGAAACAAAAGGGTGAAAGTGCAGATCATTTAAATCCTAAAATCTGTTCCAAAAAACACGCTATTTTAATGTTTTTCAATAAGGTGTATTTTGTGGATAGCAGGGATGATGTTTGCGAGAAATTCTAATAAACTGTGAACTTTTGTGTACTCATTTTTTATCTATTGAATGGTGGAGAAGATATCTGACTTTTTGTTGTATATATCCAGATATTGTGCATAACGTTATTCAATCCCGACCATCCCTTCTTAAGCCTGTGCCCTATCGTCTGGTATGTGGCATGTTGGGTTTTTTGTTAATATCTTTGCTGTCTTATTATTATTGTTGCTGTTTTTGTTTTGTACTCCCTCCGTTTTAAAATTAACTTCTCATTTGACTTTTCACGGTCTCCAATGCGACACTTTGACCATCAATATCTCAATTTTTATATTAATATATTTTATAAAAATTATATATTTCAAAACTATATTCCAAAATGAATCTATTGCTAATGAATTTATATGAAAATTCAATGTATTTTTTCCTTAATCTACGGTCAAAATTTAACAAGTTTGACTGCAAAAGTCAAACTGGGAAATTAATTTTAGGACGGAGGGAGTAGTTTTTATTGCTTAATTCACACAAGTTGCATTTGTTATGGGGAGATTTGTGTTCTTTCTTTACTTCTTTTAGTTTTTGGGGTCATAAAGAGTCTCTCTTTCTGCACACACACAAGCGGTTGTTTTGAAAATGAGGTGTGATGTCATATTATAAAATTGGTACATTTGAGACCCAACATCTTTACTTTCGAGTAGGGATAAGGTCTGTGTATATACACCCTCTATAGACCCTACGCTTGTGGGATTCAATTGGGTTGATGTTGTGCACCTCTTTACTTTTGAGTAGGGGTAAGGTCTGCCTATATACACCCTCTCTAGACCCTATCCTTGTGGGATTCAATTGAGTCGTTGTGATCCATTTGAAACCCCTCCGTGTTGCACTGAAAATGATTCATACCCCCTTTATCCCCAGTCCCAACTTAGCAAGTAATCAGACATTGCTCCATCATTTCAGAATGGGCTAACCCGCTCGCGTTCGAGTTCTGCCATATCGTTTTCAACTGCTGTTGGGGATGTTCGTCCTATTAAGCCCATGAGTCATGCCATATCGTTTGCAACTTCTTTCGGGGATGTTCATCCTATGAAGCCTGTGACGTATGAAAGGAAGTGTGTGCCTCAAGTGTGTGGTCAGAAGTTCGGCAAACTCTTCTGGGAAATGCTGTCAAGGGCAATAAAGCATGTGTGATTATGTCTTACGGAGTATTTAAGTTGTGTGTGTGTGTTTTAACCTGTGCATGCATCGGTGGAATTGACACTTTGTAATTTATGTCTTTTCTTCCATTGTACTTTTGAACCATTTTGGGAGACTCCCATTACATCTAGGTGCCCGTCCCGGGTCGGTTTTGGATATTGTCGGGGCAAGGTTTGGGTTGCACCTTAAAAAACGGACAAATGTAAAAAATTATGTACTCCCTCCGTCCCCCAGTATTTGTCCATATTTGATTTTTGGAACTGTTCATCTTAGCACTTTGACTCATCAAATTCTCTCAATGTGTAAGTCTAAATATAGTCATGTGTGATCTTGTTTGATTTGTCTTAACATATAGATTATTAATATATAATTTTTATAATTTTATAATATACAAATTACAAGATAAAATGAATTAAAGAAGTACATTGGATGATGTGTAAAAATGAAAGTGGACAAATACAGGGGGTTGGAGGGAGTAGTAGATATGAATTCCAACATGAATGTAATGTTTCTGTTTAATACATTTGAATATTAGTGCAGCGAACTTCTTTTACATACAAAAAGGGGGTGTTTCAAGGTCTGTGCTGATATTTTTTGACTTATTGTTAATAAGTAATTTTTAATTTATAAATTGTATATAAGTCAAATATTTTTTTATGAAAATAAAATGATTTAAATGATAGATAAGTAATTTGGAAATGTTCATAAAAAAGTGATAGATAATTTTGTAAATAATATCGTTAAAATAAAGAAGAAAAAATACTCTCCGGGGTCTCAATTTTATATTCTCTATTTCGATTTATGATGTTTGAGTGAGATTTTTTTAAATCATTTTATATAAAAAATGGTGTAGAATTAAAAAATAAAAAATTATATATTTAAAATTTTGATGAAAATATCTATAAAATAAGTGGTGATATGATTATATTATTTTATTAAAAGACTAATGAAAATAGAGAAAAAAAATAAATGAAGTTTGACCATGTAAATGATAAACATACTCCCTTCGTCCTACGAGTAATTTATAGTGCTTCTTTTGGTTTATGATGTTTGATTGAAATCATTTTTAAATCATTTTATATGACAAATGGTATAGAGTTAAAAAATACTCCCTCCGTCCCAGAGTATTTGTCCACTTTCATTTTTACACATCATCCAATGCACTTCTTTAATTCATTTTATCTTGTAATTTGTATATTAAAAAATTATAGAAATTATATATTAATAACCTATATGTTAAGACAAATCAAACAAGATCACACATGACTATATTTAAGCTTACTTATTGAGAGAATTTGATGAGTCAAAGTGTTTAGATAAATAGTTCCAAAAGTCAAAAGTGGACGAATATAGCGGGACAGAGGTAGTAAAAATTACATATTAAAATACTACATCAAAAGATCTATCAAATTAGTAGTGACAACAGTACTTTATTTTATCAAATTTCTAACGAAAATAGAAAAAGAAAATGAATGAAGTTTGACTATGTGAATAGTAAACAAGTACTATAAATTGGGACGGAGAAAGTATAATTTAAATTGGGACGAAGAGAGTAAGAACTTATCTATTTTTTTACTTAAATATTTCATAAACACATAGAAACAATAGTACAATACTAAAACACATAGAAACAATACTAAACACAGAAATATTTCATCAGTTAAGTTATAAATTAAAAACTTTTATAAATAATTTTGATTGATTTATAAGTTATATCGTGTACCATATACGTTCTCCTCTTTCACCACCATTTTCGTGTGTCCACTTCCAAAGAAGAGGGGGTATACGTGACACTTATATAAGCCACATGCGTCTATGCAATAACCATGAAAAAAGGATCATGCTACACTTATACCAATAATTGTACCTCTAACTTACACCAAAAGTATACATTAACATTTTAATGATTCACATCGACACAAAGTGTTGGTGCGTTAACAAAAATTAGCATTGCACTAATACAATATGTTGGTGCACACCTCCGGTGAACAATTGAGGTGTAAATTCTTGGGATGCAAGTTGCTTTATACGTGAATAAGAGACGGTAAAAGAGGAAACAAAGAATGAGGTCATTTTCCCCGTCACAATGCTGAAATTCAGTGGTGGGTATATACGTGTAGAGGAATGGGGTCATTCTCCCCTATGATACCTTAACCTTTTTCAAAAGATTTTGTTGTTTATCTATGCTTATAACTTACTCCGTATAAACCAAGGATGATGTGTTATACTCCCTCCGTCCCTAAATAAAGTTCCTCTTTCGTTTTTTCTTTGTCCCTAAATAAACTTCTCTTTTTCCTTAAAAACCCCCTTTTATCCCTTACTTTTTCATACCCTACCTATCACATCATACCTTTTTACTAATAATCTACCTATCACATCTTACTTTAACACATTACATCAAGGGTATTTTTGGAAAGTCAACACAAAAATATCTCCCTTAAATCCTCAAAAAGTCAAAAGTGGAACATTATTTAGGGACGGAGGGAGTAATTATATACTGCGAACTAAATGTATATGTGTATTTAAATATAAATGTTTCACTTATGCCAAAGGTGATGTGTTACATTTAAATTGCACATCATTATTTTATTATTCATAATACTTAAGTAAGTGGTCATTACCAAAGTGAAAGCCGTTTGTTTAAGTATAATTAAATTTAGTCTTTTATGCATTGATAGAGTATGTCCCTTATACCCTCACTGATAAAAATGCTGCTAAAGATAAAATAGCACATGAGAGATGAGAGAGGTGCAACAGAGTGGCTCTTGTGCTCAATAAAATTTCCATCAGCATAATCATCAGTGGAGCTATTCCAGATTCATTTAATGCTAAAACATATCTGGCTTCCGTGGAAGAACAATTCAAATCAACTTTTAAGGCACATGCTAGTACTCTTATTTTGAAGATGGGGACTATGAAATATGACGGGAATAACGGAAGAAGGATATGGGATGGAAGGAATAATTTAAATCGTCTGTTTCAATTTATGATTTTTTATTGAAGTTATTTTCAATATCAAGTATAATTTATTTGAGAAATGGAGCTAAATTAAAAAATAAAATCTATATATTAAAAAATTACACAAAAATGACTACAGAAATGACGAAAAAAATGGTTTAAATTTGACATTTTTAGGGGATCGGAGAACATATAATGGCATACAAATAATGTTTTGCCATCGTAGTAACTTTTGTCCTCGTAAAACAATTGCATATTCAACCACTACTGCCTATAGCCCTATATCATTATTTAATGATTTTTTTTAGTGACAAATTTTTAAAATCAAATAGGTAGCTCAAGGGGAAAAATAAACTTTCTTGTAAAGAGGAGAATCTAAATTTGACATCCACATGCCATAAATCACATTCCTATTCCTATTGGGCTTAGCTATCGGAGCGCGCCAGACATAGTCCAGTGGACCCGATCCATGAGACGCACAAAGAATATCACATCATAGCCTCATAGGTAGTTCGATTTTAACTCAGCTAATTTTCAAAGACAATTCTACATGGTGTCAAAAGTACTTCCTCCATCGCAGCATGTACATTATTCATGTACATTATTCATAGTTTTCAAAATCAGACCGGAGACCGAACCGGTCAAGGTTTTGGTTCACTAATTCACTGACTGGATCGATGGTTCAAGTGGTTGAACCAGTGGTTCATGCATATTTTAAAATTCAATATACATATGTATGTATATAGTTATTTATACAAATAAAAAATTATAAATTAAGAGATTATATTTTTTATTTTATAATTTACACAATATTTTTAAAATATTTAAAGGAGTTAATAGTTTTGTGATATGAAGTTCATATTAGAATCAATTGGATTAATATTTTAGAATTTGAATCACAGTCTTAACACTATATTTTTAAAATTTTTAAAAAATAAAAAAGGTCTTTTTAGAATAAGTATATTTGTATATTTTTAAGAATGTAGTACGGGGTAATATATAACTAATAATGTTTTCAAGCAGCAAAAGGGATTGTAGCTAGAAGGTAGATAGCCTAACAAGTGGGCAATAGGTTGTGTTTTCAAAACCCAATGGTAACAGTTTTTGAGACATTGGTACTTTTAAAACTATGACATTATTCATTAAAATTAAATTTTACTACGTCCGTCTCACAGTGTATTTGTCTAGTTTGACTTTTTCAAGTCAAACTGGACAAATTTTGAACTCCAATTACTCTCAATTTATATTGCATATTAACACAATAAAATACGGAGTACAATTTTGAAAGTTATCAAAAGTCAAACTGGACAAAGACACTGGACAGAGAGAGTATTTACTTTTTTTTACCTATTTCGGAGCGAGCAAGATTTATCTGGTGGACTCATAACATAAGACAAATGAAGAATCTCACAATTTAACCCAGTAGATTTTCAAAGGGAGAATCTACATGGTGCCCTAAGAAGTACTCCCTCTATCTCAAATTAAATAACCAGTACATTATTCGCATGGTCAGATTTTATTCACTTTTTTATACCTATTTTCATTAGTGATTTAATTAAATAATATAATTATGTCAGCACTTGTTCTATAATGCTTTTTATAAAGTTTTTTAATATGTAAATTTTATTTTTTTACTTCTACTCCAATTTCCATGTAAATTAAATGGAAAATAACTTCAGTTCTGGGCCAGTCTGAAAATATGAAAAAGTGAAATTGGTCGAGCGCAAAGTTCACACTTTGGACCTTATTTTATTTTTTAGAGTACTTATACTTTAAAATTAGTACTAAAATTAAACATATATGGTCCTTTACATGCTCTCTAGGCCGCTCATATTTTAATGAAATATCGTGAATCAAAACATGTCATATAAAATGCATGGGATGAAGGGAATATTAAATTTGTAGAATTAATTGACAAAGACCTTGTGGATCAGCGGCATGATGATGACTCCACCATATGCAGTGGCGGACCCAAAAACTAAATGGAATGAAGTAATTTCTCAATTCTATAGTTTGAACTTGTTTATAATTTTATAACTATAATTAATACACTGTTGTTTTAAATTAAAAATGAGAATCAAACTCTTAAGCCCAATTAGAGATGGCAATTCAACCCAAATCTGAAAACTAAAATATTCGAACCCAAACTAAGAATAAAATAACTTGAATTTGACCCAAAAAAATTTGCTCGAGCCCGACATCGCAATCGTGTTAAACAAGCCACAGGCCGTTGGGTACAACCTCCATACGGACAACTGGGCTAAAGACTAACGGGCCGCTAGGAATGAACGTCTAGACGGACACCTTGACAAACGATGTGGGCTAAAACTGGCTCTGATACCATGATAGAATTTAGGATTGGGTAGAGACAACTGGATAGGGCAATAAGAGACTTGGGTTGAACCACATTAAAAGATTGAATCCAATCAATTAGTTAGTTCAACTCTAGAGCTTATATACCAATTATTTTACTCTTGAGATTTCCGATGTGGGATGTACTCTAACACCTAAACTCAAATATTTTATAACCTAAAACTCTATTTACAGATATAATGAACACTCTATATATATTTTTTGGTTTTCTGGCGCAACCGCGTCTCTCTCTTAGTCCTTACATTGCATCTTTTTATGTTTTTTATTTTTCTTGTATGGTTCTTCCTTCCTTGCATCTCTGCTTTCCTCGCATCTCTGGTTTGTGTACTGTCTTGACAACTCTTCATATTGACTTTTGGGGATCATATAAGATACCAAATATCACAGGAGCTAATTAAATGGTTTCTAACCATAGTGGATGATTGCACTAAAAGTACTTGGACACAATTACCCATAATAAAGATCAAGTTAAGACATTCATATCTCATTTATTATCCATGGTTGAGACTCAATTTCATAAAAAGGTGACTTGTGTCAGATAAGACAGTGTGACAGAATTCCTTAACTCCACGTGTTTTGACTAGTTTGGAAGTAAAAGAATAATACATCAAAGATCCATGGTCATGACTCCATAACAAAATGGAGGTGTGGAAAGGAAACATAGGCATTTGTTAGATACAGCCAAGGCTATAAGATTGCATGCCAACTTGCTTAAAACCTTCTGGGGAGAGTGTATCTTAGTTGCCACCCATGTCATTAACAAGTTGCCAGGTAAAAGATTGAAGTTGAAGAATCCTTTCGAACTTCTTTACAACAAAGCTCCTTTCTATGAGGAGTTGAGAGTTATCGTGTGTCAATGTTTTATAGAACTTGCATGGTAAAAACAAACTGGACAATAGAGGGATTAAATGTGTAGTTTTGGGCTACCCTTTTGCTCAAAAGAGATATATATACACTCTATGATATAAAGGCTAAAAGGATTTTTCACAACAGAGATGTTCTTTTTCAAAAATATACTTTCCACACAAAGTACAAACATAACACATCTTATCTATTGTGAATATTCTTATCAATGAAGAGACAACTCCAACTCTGCCAATGCCTGCTCCAGATTTTGAGAATTTTGATTACATACATAATGATGGGAATGTTGCCACTCCAACTAAGAGTGAAGAGCTGGTTACTGGAAACTCACCAAATATTTCCACAAGTATACCAGACACACATACGGGTGAGGAGGAGTCTACCTTAGAAGCCATATTTTACCATCATTCCTCAAACAATCTGAGCAGATCATCCATATCAATACATCCTCATGTATGGATGAAAAATTTTGTTTAAACAAAGCCCAAGGTGCATACAATCCCTAAAGACTCGTCTCAATCATATAGTTTTCATGCATGCTAATAAAAGGAATGGCAAATGCAAATTTGGCCTATCATTCCACAACATTTCTTACATCCATAGAGAAAGTGCTAACTAACGCAGAGCCACATTATTATTCTCAAGCCAAAGTTAAACCTGAGTGGATAGAAGCTATGAGGAAGAAGTTACTTGCCCTTGAAGAGAATCATAATTGATTAATTGGGAGCTGACTACCTTTCCTCTTGGGCAAAAACCACTCATATCCAAATGGGTATATAAGGTTAAATACTTACCAAATGGCAACATTAAAAGATATAAAGCCAGAGTGATATGATTAAATTCCAGGAAAGGATTATAAAGATACCTTTTCACCAGTGGCTAAGCTTCCCACTATGAGGATATTGATTGCTCTAGCTACTTGCTCAAGGTTAGTTGGACACTTCATCAATTGGATATAAATAATGCATTCTTGCATAGATTTCTAGATGAAGAAGTTTATACGGTGACTCCACCAGGTTATACAAAAGTTAAACCTAGTCAATTTTGTAGATTGAGAAAATCTTTATATGGACTGAAACAGGCCTCAAGAAGCATCGAGTTGTCCAAATTTTTTACAACAGAGGGATTTACACAGTCCAAACAAATGGAACATCCTCGACAACCCCCCTCCAAGTCCCGCCCCCATTTCATTCCCCCCACCCACATCAATTGTACCCCGCTAGTTTAATTGACTTTAAAATAAAAAATAGATATCAAAATCAACTAAACTTGTAGAGTGTAATTAACGTGTGGGGGGATGGGTTGGGGTCAGGACGGGGGGAGCGGGGTGGGGAAATCACCAAGGAGCTAAGAAGAGTAGAAACTATCAATTTTATAAATGCAGAATTGTAGATGTCTAAATTGAAAGTGTGGCTTCGGTCGGTGGCCACTCAAATAGAGTGGTCATGGACTCGCCCAAACTAAAATAATGTGAGCAATATTTTTTTTTGAGGCAATATTAGCGGTACCTTGTTTATAAAAATAAAAATTAAATTAATTAAAGAGTTATATTTTTGGTTCTAAAGTCCACGTGATAAAGGTGCATTTTCTTACACTTTTCATGGACCGACAAGCGGATATTTTCTTTTTTACAAAAATCTCAATTCTTTTATAATATCAATATATTAAGGTCCATAATATATATTTAGACCTTAGAACCACGTAAAAATTTATTTTAATATTAAAATACTAATTGTAATAAAAATGGGGGTGGGGGGATTCTCATATTAGCCTCCCATGTCATAAGACATAAACTCTTTTTGGCTGTTTAAAAAATTGATGATTCATATTCCTAACCCCTTCACTAAATCCTTCACCCAACCCTATCCGAATATATTGTTGGGATCCCTCCAAGGCCCCCATTAGAAGTGTAAGAATAAAATGAACCAAAATATATAAGTTCACCCAACCTTATTAGTATAAGACTTATTGGAAAATGCACAAAAACAAATCCATGAGTGCTCAGAGTGGACAATATTATACTAATGCAGGATTAGAGTGAGGGCATGCACGGTATCAACATCTATCTCTCTGTTCCTGTCAATTACAACCCATAAGATTTAATATTAAAAAAAAATATAGAATAACTTGATAGATTTAATACATATATTCCTTATAAACATACAATTCTTAACTCCAAAGGGGTACATCTTGCTCTCTTTTGTTCTGCAGTGGCTCATTATAGCACGACACGGGTGAAAGGGGTACACTCCCATTCCCATTGTTGCCGCTGATCGCCATCACGTCTCAACATTTAACGAACCAACTTCTCATCATCATCCCTCCCCTCCAGGTAAACTTCAAGAAGCGGCAAGCCTTTAAAATCTCATCGGTTTTCGTTCAATCTGATTTCCGCTGTTTTGCTGATCTGCGTTTAGAGTGAAATTGCTTCCGTCGACGGTCGGATTTATGTCCCAGAATCAATCGAGGGCTGGAAATCGCGATTCTCACCCGCACAGGAAGACCGGAGGAGTCGGCGGCTCTAATCAGTATCGCGGCGGTAGAGAAGGAGGCGGCAGAGGCGGTGGCTCTGCCCCTGCTTACACTCCTTCGTCGCCATCCAGCAGAAGGTAGTCTGGATTTTTATGATCATGCCCTTATTTAAAATCTGGGTTCCTGTGCTTCTTCTGGTGTAATAAAGAATAACATCAACAATAATAATAATTGTAAAACACTCTTTTCCTCCCTCCACTTTCTTGTTTTTGTAATTATGATGAATTGTTTAAAACTACCCAGAGATGAAATATGAACATTGTTGACATGACATGAATGAGTGAAAAACTTATTCGAAGGAATTATTTGATACTCTATTTCTTAAAAACGAGAGCTTTTATAAAGTGGACAAAAAGGGAGGAGTTATTAATAATTTTTCTTTTTCTGCTTGGTTTTTTTCTGTAGCAGCAACAAGAAGCATAGCAATGCCCAAGGGGGATATCAGACACCAAGTGATTCAAGTGGGAGCACAGCTCGAGCAATGCCAGATGGTGCTAGGCTAGAACAATCATTAACTGGTATTTCATGCCGTTTCTTCTCTTTTCTTTAGTTTTTGCTAAATCTTTATTATGGTGATGAAGTAAATTTGAGTTAAGTAATGTAAATCACTCCTCTCTGGTGGTTGGAATGTTAAAATTTCAATTTTTAAATCTTTAAACTCTACATTGTAAGAATTTTCTAGAAAGATTTTATCTTTAATTTAAAAAATAGGTGCTTCGTAGCGTGTAATGTGCCTGATATGGCAAGACTGTCCACAATGGAGGAGTTAAATCAAGTGTTAGTTAACAACTGAAAAATGTTGCTTCAATGTAGAAGTTATCAATACACGCGGGCTATCTGTATATCTAAGTGTAGTGTTCATATTCCGAATGCTCAAAGCAACATGTTTGCAAAATAATGCCAACTGACTTCACTTCACATTGTCTCTTCTTATATTTATTGATGTGGGAATATGACTTACTATTTGTTTAGGGTGGTGGTATGAAACCATCAAAGTTTAAACTTTTCCTCTATTAAAATTGATCTCTGCTGTGCTTTTCTCGTTCTTATGGCATTACTGCTGCAGGTGTTCCAATTCAACCCTTAAGCACATCTGTAAGTATCCGCGATGCCCCAAAGCAAAAAGTTAACCCAGGTGTACCAAGACCTCCATCTTCCAATGTCCCCACTGGTCCAGACTCTAATGTACCAGCTACTCCTACTAAAGGTTTGTTTTTGGATGGAAAACATTGTGCTGGCCTCTTTCACATTCTATTAGATTTTTCATTTGCTTCATATTGTGGCAACTTGTTGGACCTCAACTGGTACCTGATTTATATTTGATTGTTTCACTCTAGCAGACGTTTCTGGGCCAATCTCTCTTCAGTTTGGGTCAATAAGTCCTAATTTCATGAACGGGATGCAGGTAATTTCTACTTTCTTGATCTATAAGGTATGATGTTTCTAAATGTCAAAATGTCCAATGCTATATTTGGAACAAGGAACACAGCAGGGAAAGGATAGTGAAATGCAAAGCGAAATGTTTATTTTTCTCGGTTTTGCCTGTTTTAATTTGTTAGCCCTTTATTATACATTTATACTCCTGTCCCGATTTGTTGTGCACACTATGGCTGGTCACATGAATTAATGAAGTTAAAACTCTGTGGTTATTTAGAAGAGAGAACCGTTATAAACCACTAATAGTCTAATACTTTCCATAGATGGAAACAAACCCAATAAAATGGAATGGACGAAAAAGGAAAACTTGCACAACAAATTGGGAGAGAGGGAGGGGGGATAAATAAACAAAATGATTTTTGAAAAACTTTTGAATTTGATTTATTGAGCTTGAACAATTTCTTGTATTCCCCTAACATTTACTTCCGAATTTCTTCTCTATTATCCTTGGTATTTTCTTTCCCTTGAATTTTATGGCTGCCAAACTGATCCTAAAGAAGATAAAGACTTCTTTGCATCATGCTTATCAATAGGTTCCCGTTAGAACAAGTTCAGCGCCACCGAACGTGGATGAGCAGAATCGCAATCAGGTCAGTAGCTCTTCCTTTATCTTCAATGTGTGATAGTGGATGATATATTTTATTCTGGTTCTATGACAAATTGCTGATTACTGCTGATCATCACCATTCATATAGTCTTTCATTTTTTGGTGTTAGTATCACAGTTAAAGTGTAGATGGTAGCTTGGCTCTCAGGCTTTCCATTTTAACTCCGTTCCCTTCAATAATTCATTCTTGCAGGTTTTTGTTGACTCTGTGAAAGTCATGCCTGCATTGCCAAATCCATCCGCATCTAGTCACCCACCTGAGAAGATCGCAGAAAAGGTTGAACAGTCTAATAACACTGAGGGCTTGGGTTCAGGTTCAGTTCAATCCAGGTCCAAGAGAGATGTGCCTGTTTCTTCTCCACCGACGCAAATGCACAAACCTTATCCTCATCCTATGACTGGAATTCCTAGGCCCATTCAATTCCACACTGCTCAGCCACAGGTTCCGGTTCAATATGGGGGCCATGCCCAAAGTCAACCCCATACCTTGTCTGCCTCATCTTTGCCCATTCAAATGACGGTTCCTCTGCTTGTAAATCCATCTTTACAGCAGCCAATGTTTGTCACTGGTCTTCCATCCCATCATCCCATGCCACCTCAAGGAATCTGGCAACATGGACAAGGTTTAGGTTTTTCTACTTCGGGAATAAATCCGCACATGCCCCCACCGTTGGGAAACATGGGAATGGCTATTCCTTCACAGTTTCCTCAACATCAGACTGCAATGTATGGAAGTCTTCGTAAAACTGTAAAGATAATTGACCCAAAAACTCATGAAGAGTTAAGGCTTGATGGATCACATCCCAGTATACCACTCCAATCACAGCCACTACCATTCCAACCAGCCTCTATTCACTATTATCCTAATTCGTATAATAATGGTTCGGTAATTTTTCAAGCTCCAAACAATTCACAGATTTCTCAGGGAACAAGGCTTCATAATCAGGTTAGTACTTCAGTCTTTAATTGTGTGCTTATTTAAGAAGGCATTGCCGGAGAAAAGATAAAATGAAATTTTCAGATGTCAACAACTTCATGAATTCAAGTGCAGGTTACAATAAAACCGGGACCTGGCACAGTAGGGGAAAAGGACCAGGTGCCAGTAAAACAATCTATTAGGGGAAGAGATGAGTTACCCTTGACAAGTACATCCACAGGAAAAGATTTTCAGAAACACTCAGAGTCACATGAAGGTGGGGGCAGTGCTGAGGAGTCAGTCCTTGATGTCATCAAAGAGCAGCAGAAAAAACAAGATAATAAAGGACCTCTGGCTGTGCAGGATCAGGTATTTTACTACTCTTTTCATCCCTCGCAAAGGTTCCACATTGGAACTGGCTCAGTCATTGTGAGAGTTGAAATTATGTGGTTGAGGATTATGCATAGAGATAAATAATACAGAGTATGAACCATAGAATTCTTCTTTTAAAATGAAAGTGGAACCTTATTTTGGGATACATGAAAATGGAAATAAGGAACCCTTTGCACTTTGTAGGGACAAATCGAGTCATGTATTATTACTAATTTGTTAGATAGTATTCCGAAGTAATTTGTTTGTTGTGTTGGCTCCAAGTAATCTTGATGCATAATCATAACATAATTGTACTGGTAGTTCAGGTTATACATGATTAAGTCCAAGTACCTGCTAGGGAGTTTGATTCAGCAAAAACAAATCCTAGTTTTAAATTTTAATTAGATAACATTACATTGTAAACAGAGAAAAGGTCTAAATGCTATTCACAATAAAGTACAATAAAAGTATAAAGATGCAAAAATACTTGAGCGAGATGCTTCGTTTCACACTATTTAAGCACAACCAAAACTTCTTGCTGACCAAAGTTTTTTTCTGTAGGTGGCAGAACTGCCTACTTCTGTTTCTGTTTCAGCTTCTCATTCTGTTGATGATGTTAATATAAGGGATTGTACTCTTAATGATATTGATTCTAAAGCTAATGATGTTGAAAGAGAGAGCTCTTCTGAATCTCGTGATATCAAGAGTGAAGATGGCATAAGTACAGTGGCTGAAACATTTAATCAATATGACAAAGACGGAAAGTTGTGTAATGCCAGTATACACAGCACAAACATTTCCAAGACTTATCCAGCATTCACTTGTTCAGAATCTTCAGAGTTAACTAATCAAACTGACGAGAGCTGTCTAGCGCAGGCTGCTAGTTCCAGCAAAACAGACGACAATCATGTAGAAACTGCTCAAGAAAAGGTCAATGAATGTGCTACATGTTCCAGTGAGGCTGATAGTTCTTTGTCTTCCAGTTTAAATGCCAATTCCAATGGAGCATTCTTGTCCATAGGTTTATCTACTCAAGATCAGCATTTAGTAACATATAGATCTGAGGCTTCTTCTAAACCTATAGATGGAAACTCTGGCAATAACCATAAGGTTATGGATGAGAAGAAAGAAGACATCAGACATGTTGACAGTGTTGAGGGGGAAAATAATGAGGGTTTGAATCCCTGCAGTGCAGAAGTGGTGGAAGATGTTGTGTTAATCAAAGATGGTGCTCATGCTAAAGCAGAGTCTGATGATAGGGAGGATGCTGCCCGTGCTTCTAGGCAAAACCAGGGAACTTTCAAAAAGGAAAATCAGGCTGTTTTGGAATTCAAGAAGCATGCTGAAGATGGTGATGAAATGAGAGCAAAAAAGTACTCAAGAGATTTTTTACTTAAATTTGCAGACAAATGTAAAAACCTCCCTGAAGCTTTTGAGATTGCTGCTGATTTTTCCGAGGCATTAATGGTTTCTGATTTGGGAGCTTCTGTTGAACAGTACCATAGTCCTGGCAGGAATATTGATCACAGACGGCCTGGAGGGTTTAGGATAGAACATCACACCAGTGGCATGGGACGCGAAGACAAGAGGAGTAAACTACCCGGACCTCTTATGACTGGACGAGACACACAAGGAGGGAATTTTGGGGGTAACAGAAGCAACTTTGCACCAACACCTCTTCATTATGGTGGGGGTTCCTACTTAGGGCCTGTTGGTGCTCAGGGAGGTGGTATGCGACGAAATGGTGTTGATTCTGGCAGATGGATACAAGGGACTGCTTTCCATAAGGGTCTTATGCACTCTCCTCACACTCCATCACAAGTGATGCATAAAGCTGAAAAGAAGTATGAAGTTGGTAAGGTAACAGATGAGGAGCAGGCGAAGCAAAGGCGATTGAAAGCAATTCTCAACAAGCTTACTCCTCAGAACTTTGAAAAGTTATTCCAGCAAGTCAAAGATGTCAATATTGACAATGTGACTACACTTAGCGGTGTCATTTCACAAATTTTTGATAAAGCTTTAATGGAGCCCACTTTCTGCCAGATGTATGCCAACTTCTGTTTTCACCTTGCTGCCGAGCTTCCTGAATTAACCATAGACAATGAAACAGTCACTTTCAAGAGATTGCTTTTGAACAAGTGTCAGGAAGAATTTGAGAGGGGTAAGCGAGAGGAAGAAGAGGCTAATTTAATTGACAGGGAAGGTGAGACAAAACTATCAGATGAGGAAAGAGAGGAGAAAAGATTAAAAGCACGAAGAAGAATGCTGGGCAACATCAGACTGATTGGGGAGTTGTACAAGAAGAAAATGTTGACAGAGAGGATAATGCATGAGTGCATACAAATTTTGCTTGGTGAGAGTGAGGGTCAGAACCTGGATGAGGAAAATATCGAAGCTTTGTGTAAATTAATGAGCACGATAGGAGAGGTGATAGATCATGCAAAAGCCAAGGTTCACATGGATGCTTATTTTGCTGGGATGTCAAACTTGTCAAACAACATGAAACTATCTTCCCGGTTGCGGTTTATGTTGAAAGATGCAATTGATCTTAGGAAGAATAAGTGGCAACAAAGGAGAAAAGTGGATGGACCAAAAAAGATTGAAGAAGTGCACAGAGATGCAGCTCAAGAGAGGCTAACCCAAACTAGCAGGACTTCTTTTGGTAGAAGAAGCCAACAACTAGAGTATTCACCTAGAGGTCCTAGCGTATTGCCTTCTCCAAGCTCTCAGATTGGTGGGTTCAGACCAATATCACCTATGAGAAGGGATTATGGCAGCCAAGATGCTCGTATGGATGATAAATATACTTCCCAAAATAGGCCATTATCACTTCCTCTAACCCAGAAAGGAATTGGAGATCATATTACACTTGGGCCTCAAGGTGGCCTTGCAAAGGGGTTGACCTTTAGGGCAACTGTTTCAAAAATATCTTCTGCGAGTATACAGAGTGCTGGAAACTCCAATAGAGTTGCATCTAGTGTGGATGAATTTGATCCTATGCTTGATCGAATACCACGAGACTCAAGGGAGGATGCCTTGCAGAGTTATGTGCCAGAAAGGCTTTCCCGTCGTTATGATCAAACTGGTAAACAGGATCAGATTATGCTTAATGGAAATAGAGATCAAAGCCTTGATACTTCTCTTCCCACGTCGCATACAGTCCAAAATGCTGTTCAAGATAAAGCTGTGCCAGAAGAACGCTTGCAAGAGCTATCAATGTCTGCAATAAAGGAATTCTACAGGTATTGTTCGGTGATCATGTGCTGTCCAAACATTTTTTATGGAGTATTTCTAAAGCCCCCCCCCACCCCCTTCCCCCCCCCCCAAATAATTCACATACAGACAATTAACATGAAACTGCCTAGCCTTCCATAACTAATATCTACTCCCTCTGCCATAAAATTTAAGAACGTTGTTGAAAAGTAAAAAGTGTGGTTAGAATTTATTTAGAGGGGAGAGAATTGTTGGTAGCCACATATTCATTACCAAAATATGGAATGAAGTATGTGAAGTTTTTGACAGTATGTCCAAGAAAAGAAAGTATAAGAATTTAATGGGGTAGAGGGAGTATATCTTATTCCTTAGCTCCAAATTGTGTTTGGCCTTGTTAGTTTTGGGGGACAATAATTTTATCATTACACCGGGGATTATAGATGTCAAAATGGAGTTTAATATATTCTCTTGAAATACAAGCCCTATGAATAATATTACTAGGAAGAAATTGAGCCGGGTGGCAGCTATACTCATCTGGAATTTATATCTGAGAAAGTGATGGAAGGAACTTCTAAGCCAAGAGATCATGCACTACTCTCTCTTTCCCACAAAAGTTTTCCCACTTCTTTTCTCATTTTCCTTTTCCCACTTTTTCTTTCCTTTTCATATGTCCATAGTTTTTTCATATGTCCCTAAATAGTTTTCCCACTTTTTCTTTCCTTTTTAAAAAATAATTTGGTCCAACATACTTATATCTCTTCAAACTGGTTTTAACTACTCACTTTTCTACGATTTTTTTAAGTTGCATACCAATTCATCCTGCACGACAAAATACTTTGGTTTATAGTAGCTGCTATTCTCTCATATTCACTTATGTATGTAATGAAAGGCCTTAATCAGCATACACATTTTAGTACTTTCTTGAGAGCTTTGTGCGTGCGCACAATCTAAAAATATCATTAGTATCCTTGAGTGTTTTTTAACTGATATGAACCTTCAATCTGATGGACAACAGTGCCAGAGATGAGAAGGAGATTGCTTTATGCGTGAAAGATTTGAAGACACCGAGCTTCCACTCTTCAATGGTTTCTATTTGGATCACTGATTCCTTTGAGAGGAAGGACATGGAAAGAGCTCTACTAGAGAAACTTCTGGTCAATTTAACAAAGTCTCAGGATGTTATCTTAACTCCAGATCAGCTGATTCATGGGTACGNCCCCCACCCGAACATACTCCATCTGTCCCACAATGGAACCAGCACAGTTACTAAGGAAAGGGAACTTGTATGGTCGAAAGTGGGCATAATAGAGGAGAGATATATAGCGTGAGCCATAGAAAGTTTTCCATAAATGGAGAGCGGAACGTTTCTATAAATAGAAAGTTTTCCACAAGGTTTTAATGCTTTACTGAACGTTGCCATCTTGGATAGGTTTGAATGTGTCCTTGCGACCTTGGAGGACGCAGTGAATGATGCCCCAAGAGCAGCAGAGTTTCTCGGCCGCATCTTTGCCAGAGCGGTGCTGGAAAGCATTGTCCCCATGGACCGGATCGGGATGCTCCTATTGCAAGGAGGGGAAGAGGAAAGGCGCCTCGTCGAAACGGGGCTTGCGGCCGATGTTCTTGGGACCACCTTGGATACTATAAAATCCGACAAGGGCGATTCTTCGTTGGATGAATTGCTTAGAACCTCTAACCTGCTGCTACACGACTTCCGCCCCCCAGGTTCGAAAAATAAATCCAAATTGGACAAATTTCTCATTCCATAGGGGCACTATAATATATATATATATATATATATATATATATATATATATATATATATATATATATATATATATATATATATATATATATATTCTTTGGGTGAATAGAGCTAAGAGTATTCTTATTTTGCTTTCAAGAAAAATAATAATAATAATAATAATAGTAATAATAAGAATAATAGTTTTGGAAGGTGTTTGCTGCAATAGATAGATATATACCACTTGGATGACAAATATTGTTATTATTTATATATGGTATATTATCTAACGAGCTTGATCATGGTGTGCTGTGACATGCCTAAATGTACGTACATCATCGGCTTCCTGGCCACGTGATAAGCAAAGATCTGATCTGAGTTTCTTTTGTAAATGCAAAAGATTATTATTTATTACTCTTCCTAAAAATTCTTCTTGTTTTGACTTTTTTTTGTCAGTCGCACACTTTGATCACAAATTAGACATAATCTAAATAATTAAATGTTATAAGAATTTTATATGTCAAGATTATATCTTAAGATTAACCCAATTATATTGGATTTGTATTATAATTTAATATATTTTTCTCATAATCAGCGGTCAAAGTGTGTCATTGTTTGATAAAAAATAATTAAAACAGGAAGAGTTTTTAGGACCGGAGGGAGTATACTCCATATTTTTTTTAAATCCTTTGGACAAAAATAGTGTAAATTGAAAATTTAGATGTTCATGCACAAAAATGTCTATAACTATAGTCATTTAGGTTCCGTTTGTTACATGAAATTTACATTGTGGAATTAGGATTGAGGACAACAATTCTAATTTTGTTCTTTGGTAGCACAATAATACGGAGTATGTGGATTAGGAATTTGTAGTGCCAAAAATAAATTGGAATCAGAGAATTCAATTCCATTTAAATGAATTCTATAGAATTTTAATTTCCAATTTAATTTTAATTTTGTCAATTCCGTGTACCAAATGGATCCTTAGTGTTTTTCTCATTTTTTTTATAATCAGATATTAAATATCACATTTTTTGAATAATTCACAATTACACATTTCGTTTTACGAAATGCCAGAGTAAATATCAGAAGTAAACACTCCAAATCAGAAGTACATTATGTTTGGTAAAGAAGAAATTGGAAATAAGAGAGGACTTCAATTTCTACTGGCTTGTTTGGTTGAAAAGAATTAGGGGGAAGAAAGAGGCAGCATTTTTATAGACATGCATGATAATGATAATTGCTTTTAAATGTTGTTTGTAGACATAATAAATAAAATATACAAATCCTCATTTTCTTATTGAAAAGTGTGTGTATATTTTTTTTGTATAAAAAATTTATTCTTATTATTATTAAAAATAATAAATAATGTAACTATCATTAAAGGTGTATAAATATATTTTAAATTTTTTTAAATAAGTAAATTTTATAAAAAAATTATGTATGAGAACTACATTTTAAAATTAATCTAATTACATTAAATTTACTTATAATCAAAGACAAAAGTATATATTTTTCACAATTTGAATGCAAAATTTAAATTTGACCCAAAAAAAAATCACGAAGATTTTTATGGACAAATGGCGTGTATTGCAAGGACAAGGTTCAATACACATTGAATGTAAATGTCATCTTATGACAAGAGAATTTAATGTCAAAGTAGCTCCACCAAAAACAGAAGGACACCAACTATAAAGAAAAAAGAAAGCACTCAGGAAAAAAAAGGAAAGTAAGGGGCATTCAACTTAATTGCAATTTCCTTCCTCCTTTCCTCCCATTTCTTTTGTATAGAGTAATTTACATCAATCCAAACAATGAAATTTTTTCTATATCTTTTGCATATCCTTTCATTCCCTTCACTTCCCTCTAACCAAACACAACCTTAAGGAAAATGGTTAGTATATCAATTTCTTTTAAAATATGATGATGACAATATCAAATTTAAAATCATAAATCTACACCTATGTCCAATTGTGCATAAGAAGATTGTAACTATTGTTTAAAATATTCACCAAGTAGAAATTGATTACTTGCTGAATGATGCATGTGTTCTAATCACGTCTTGTCCATGGAGAACTAACTAGAAACACAAAATTCATTAATCATAAACTACCTATATATTGACTAACAAAATTTGTTTAATAAAAAAAGGATGAACCTCATTTGTGAGAGTGAGGGTCTCTTAGAACCAGTTAGACACTTACTTGAGAAGATGTAACTTGAGCTTTAATCATCTATTAAAACAAAAAAATGAAACATGCACTTGATACTACTAGAGATCTCATGCTTAGCAAACTTTTCTCTTGGCGTTATTGTCAACTGCACGGCACCCACCAGCACAATGAGTTATTCAATAAATTAGAGCATAGCTCTCTAAATACATAGAAATAAATAGATTCTACTCGTATTATACTATTATACCATGTATATAACTCTCTCAAGTCACTTACTTTATAGATATTTCATTAAAAATAGAATGAGATTTAGCTAGTAATCCATATATAGCCTATTACAAATAAGTTAGGGACATTCGTTTGTCAACAGTTTCAATATATATATATATATATATACACATATACATATACATATACATATACATATACATATACATATACATATAAATATACATATACATATACATATACATATACATATACATATACATGCATACATACATACATACATACATACATATATACATATATATATATATATATATATACACTATTTTGAAAAAAATTATGTAATGGTAACTTTTAAAAGTAGATTTGCGTCATTAAATATAATCCAAAACTAATTGAATTCGGAAAACATTGTTTCAAAATAGGTCATATATAGTTTAGGTAAAATATAATATATATGTGTGTGTTTGTGTGTCTTTAAATTTATATTGATTTAACCCAATTAGTTTTTTCGGCACATATAACTAAGTTTGAAATATTGTTTTATAAAAACATTAAATATAATAATGAAATTACTTTGTGTTTCTTTTAATCAAATTATCTTTTGTGACAAAAAAGATGACGGAGTTCCCTCAAAAAAAGGAGAATGCTAGGGTGCCACCACATGGATACTACCATTGGTGCACCCATGCTTCACACAGACAAACATAGACAATAATTGTCTGTGTCGCACAGACAATTATCGTCTGTGTGAAGCATGAGTGTACTCATGATAGCACCCATGTGGTGGTACACTAGCATGGTCCAAAAAAAATATGACGGAGTGGCATAGAACTACAAAAAGAGCGATAAAAGACAAAAAGTTTTCTTGACAAAAGAAATATGAAACTTTTTAACTGTTTACAAAATACCTGCTTCTCCGAAACGGTGTTCTATATACAAAATAGTGGTGGTGAAAAGCAGAAGTTGACATGTCAAACAAAGTAAAATCACTTTGACTCCAAACAGAAGCTAAATTATTAAAAGCAGCGTACTGGCAAACACCCTCAAAACCTATCTTCTAAATTGAAAGTTTAACCAGATTCGAGCGAAGATCAAAACATTAACTCTTTATGCATCAAAACATTAACAAATTTTAAAATTTGTTATAGAAGTAAAATTTTAACGCGTTACGAGAAATGACCGACTTTATTTTCAATTCAATTTAATTGATTATAGAAGTAAAATTTTAAAATAAAATTTATATAGTAATAAACTATATGAAAAGTTCTACAAAACTAAAGGTGACAAGACTATATTATTTTATGAAATGACTAGTAAAATTGAGTAAATAAAGTGAGTAAAGTTTGACCCTGTGAATAGTGTCTGGAAAGATCTATGGTGAACAGAGGAAGTATTACATTTTAATCGAGTCAATAAGACGACAAAATTGAGTATAAATTATTTCCCAATTTTGTCTCGATGAGACTAACTTTCTTTTTATAAAAATAAAAAATCACCAATGTGGCAGATTTGGCATTTTGTAAATTTTTCTACTCACAGATCAGAGCTTGAACGAGAGATCCTTTGACGCGCTGATTCATAGAGTACAAATACCTATAGAGCACGCTCTCTCTCTCTCTCTCTCTCCCTACCTTCTCCGGGAGTCCCCGATCATTTCCCGGCGATATATAATTTCATTTGCCGGAAAATCCTGATCCGATCCAAGGATCTCATAATCTCGAAGGTTGGCGTGTAGATCGGACCGATGGCGCCTGTTTCGGCTCTCGCCAAGTACAAGCTCGTGTTCTTAGGAGATCAATCCGTGGGAAAAACCAGTATCATAACTCGCTTCATGTACGATAAATTCGACAACACATATCAGGTATTGCATATTCTCAATTATCGGCATTTTCCCGATCTGCTTGTTTGTGGCTTCGATTTATCTATTCTGATTTGGTAGTCTGATATAGATTCGATGTTGTTCTTCAAGTGTTTCATGTCAACGTTTTTTGTTTTTATTAGAAAATTATTAGTTTAGATCGGCTCATTATTAAGTTTGCGCTTGATTTGTTTGGTGCATTTTACATTTTTAGGCTATTTGAACCGTTTAGTTCAAGTTGGATTGTTATTTTTCTCGATCTCATCGTCCAGAAATTTACCTTGTCGTACTGTGGTCTTTTTCTTACACCAGCATATTTTCTTCTAGTGGGTAAATTATGTGCGCCTATGGATTTAATATTAGCAGCTATGCATGCAGCAATGCGGGTCTCTTAAATAGTTAAACAAATAGCTCATTTAGAATTACAAGTAGATGTAATATACAAAAAAAACAATGGCATTTGTATGTTTGGAGGGGGTTCGTCACCAATCACCATTGTTATTGACATTTCCTGAACATTCTTTATTTAAGGATAAGTGGAAACGTTGAATAGTTTTTATGATTACCTAAACCTGTACTTGTTTCAGGCCACAATTGGAATAGATTTCCTGTCAAAGACAATGTACCTTGAAGATCGTACAGTGAGATTGCAGCTCTGGTGAGTTACTTGTCATTGATGTTAGGATAATGTGTCTTTCTTTTACAGTGAGATTTGAATATCGTACAGTGAGATTTACATGCTGCGTTGCACTCATTTTCCAAAGCGTCCAACTGCTTTGTCAATTGTTTAAATTCAGATATATTTTCCACTTCTTGTACCTCAAGGATATTGTAGACATGTAATTTTACCATGACAGTAGCTTGCCATTTAATTTGAATGAACACTATCTTTAATCTGTTGAGGATATTTTACCCCGTATTTTTCATTTTGTTCATTACGGAATATTTGTTATCTTTTAGTTTGACTCCACCACATGGGTCCTTTTTGAGTTTGTTAATTTGAGCAATATTAAACTTCTGCACACATCCAATTTCTCCCATGAGCATGGCAAGCTACATCCCGAAGTTAGTTTTGTGGACGGTCTATTATCTATTGAGAGGATGCTTTCATCATCACCAATTTATGATGTTCTCTCTACATGAATATTTACACTTCAGAAAGCATTCTACTACACACTACTTGATGGAACATTGGTGGGGATGAAATTAATGTGTAGCTATTGGATCTTTTGTTTGTATGCCATTTTTTATTTATTTTTTATTGAAATTCATGTTGTTGATCTTTCATTAAATAATTTGTCTCTTTCAAGTGCTTGATAAGGTGTATTATCTTTCTCACCTTATGGCTTATACAGGGATACAGCAGGGCAAGAGAGATTCAGGAGTCTTATACCTAGCTATATCAGGGACTCGTCTGTTGCTGTGATTGTTTATGACGTTGCAAGTATGTTTTCTTCTAATTTATGTTCTTCCCTTGCCTTGAGGAGAGTTTGCTTTAAAAACAGTGATTTGGAAAATTCATCACTGCAGTTACACTGTTACAGCATGTTTGGGTGGGTGGGTGGGGGGGAATAAATAGACGGGGAATGTGATATGAGTGTCATGGGAAAGGAATATATTCAGAATAAGAAAATTTTCAATTCCATTGTTTGATTGTTGTAAATGATACTTTGTTCCAAAATAATCGCAATGGTTTGAACTTTACACTATTCCCACTTTCATTTGAGTATTTGACAATCTATTATCAATATGTAAGTAAGATATACTCATATGGGATCTTGTTAGATCCATCTCGATAAGACTTTTACATATCAGTTTTTATATAATTTTACTAGAATGTAATTGAAGATATTAATGACCACTCTTGTGTCACACTCACATCACTGAACTTACACTCCATGTATTCGGTCTTGGTTTATTCTATGGTTTCTCTCCAAACTTCTTGTCTATCTTTAACCTTATTGTGTGACTCGTAAATCAAAACTGTCATTAGCAAATACTCCCTCTGTGGCTCTGTCCCAAAATCTTTGCCACATTACGCAAAATGAAGCAAAATTTCAAGTTTCTCAATTTATTTTGTTTAAAGATTGGTATAGAAATAAAAAAATAAATTTTTTATATTTAAAAAACTACATCAAAAGTTTTACAAAACAAGAGGGTAAAAGAATATTTTATTTTATCAAATAATCAATGAAAACATACAAATAAACAAAAGTTCTTGTAAATTTTGAATAGTAAATTCTGGCATTCTTTTTGGGACTGAGGTAGTGGTATACACCATGAGTCCATGACCCGTCCTCCTGAGTATGTTGCGCCAATTTGTTCATCACTAAGCAAATAAAAAAGGATCAAGGGATGATCCTTGGTGCAACCCCATCAAGACATGAAAGTGTTTTGAATCACCCGCACCCTGTTTTCCTAACTTACCACTTGGCACACCCTCATACATGTCCTTAATTGCCCTGTATATGTCACATGCAGATCTCTTGTCTCAAACATCTCGGAAGGACCTCTCATGAGACTTTATCATATGCTTTCTCAAAGACAATGAACTTCTTGTGCAAATCTTTTTCTTGTCCCTAGACTGTTTTAAAAATTACCTAACAAGATGAATAGCCTATGTAGTCGGCTAACATGGCGTAAACTGAATTAGTTCTTAGCGATCAACACCTCATCCTTTTTGCAACTACTCTTTTTCAAATTTTTCTAGTGTGACTTCACAGCTTGATACTTAGGTTGTTGTTGCAGTTCTGAATATCACTTGTGTTCATATACAACACGACCTTTGCTTGTACCTGTGCAAAAAATGGCATTAAACCAAATAGTCAACTGCCCATATTTCCTCCTGGCCTACATCCTTCAAAATAAATTAAGTGATCTCATCTGGCGTGGTGCTATCCCTTTGTTCATGTTACAAATAGCCCTCAAGATTCAGTCTTTATATGCCTACAATATCTAAAATGTCTACTGCTTTCGGAAAGTGTGGATTCCTTCGGCACGAAACCCTTGTCCCTTGTTCAAGAGCTTACGGAAGTATTTGTGCCAACTCCGCCTAATACATTGCAACCTCAATCAACATATCACCATTTCCAGCCTTGAGAAACCTAGCACCTCTGCAGAAGCTTCTCTAATGCACACAGCTGGCATAGTTCACACACTAATTAGTATACAACTTACAAACTTCTCTGCTTATGCTAAATATTTACTTATTTAGATGACAATTTTGTCCAATTACATTTCATTTGTATTACATTTTACACAGAAACAGGAAAATGCCAAGGTGATGTGAATTTTCTCCCCAGACATTGGGGAAATCTTGTTTTACTGACATACCAAGCTAGAACTTCTTTCATTTAGAAAGTGTGTATGAACAGAAAACAAGTTCATGCATATGACATGGACTGTTAGCACCTCTCAAAAGAGAAAAAGCAGTCTATAGAGCTAATTTATTTGGTGAATAGTAACATGTCTCTGTATAATCAGGTCGGCAGTCATTCCTTAACACAGTAAATTGGATTCAAGAGGTTAGGACTGAGCGTGGGAGTGATGTTATAATTGTCCTTGTCGGGAATAAAACTGACCTTGTGGATAAAAGGTACCTATACGATTGCTATATTTTTGTTTTCTTGAGATAAATTGTTAAATATGTAATTTAATTCTGAGTCCTTTTCTTTCATGAAATCTGGCATGCTGAAGAATGTTAAACGTTTGAAAAAACCTTTCTATGAAACTGTCACATGTGCAGAAATTATGCATTAGCAGTATTTAAATGGTGTGAGGAAAGTTAAGAAGGAAATTGATGTGGCTTTAAAAATAAGAGAGAGATGGGGGGAAGCAGGGAGAATGGATAAAAATGATCTAAGGGCATCCTTAGACCCCAATCATTCCCCTACTATTCCCCTCCATATAATCACTTTTTGATGCCACATAATTTTCCCCTTTCATTTTCCTCGCTCTACTCTAATCATTTCTCCCCCCTTTTTTCTCTACTCGGTATTTCCTTATATGTGGGCTAGGAATGTTTTCTTCCAAAAATATTAATTTTATCAACACATTTTTTATTTTATTTTTCAACTCTATATTATTTATCTAATCATAAATTATTTCATTAATCTTTACTTTTATCTTATATATTCTTATTTTTAATAAAATTTACTCTGTATATAAAATGAAATTTATAATATATTTTATAATTTTTAAAAACAATTAGACTGTTACCAAAAAGGGAAAAAATAAAAACAAGAATCATCCCTCAATGTAAAGAGAAAAAAGGAACAACCAATGATAAAGAGGAAAAAAAGAGGCAACGGGTTTTGAAGGATTTGTGGAGGAGGAACACCCACAAAAGAAAGAGTCAAGAAGAAATGAAAAATTTGAAAAAGGTGACGTGTAAAAAAATGAAAAAGAAAGAGTGAATGGAAAAAGGCCCCACACATATATATACTCCGTATATTTTTGTATTTAGGAGAAGACAGTCATTTGTTACATGGAACATCTTGATAGAAAATAGTTCAGAACAATGTTTGATACAAATTTAGTAAAAAAGGCTCTACAAGTATGCCTGCCTATGCATTTTTCTTTGCAACACATATGGCAGCCAAGTGGGGTTCTGTTCTGGCTCTTGTTTATTTTCTTGTATCATTTGTTTAATACGGAGTATCATGTTGGTTTTTGTTGCAAAAACAGAATAGTCTCGATAGAGGATGGAGAATCTAAAGCTAAGGAATTGAATGTCATGTTTATTGAAACCAGTGCAAAAGCTGGATTCAATATAAAGGTGAGCAGTAATACCATCCCCATGCGTTTGTTTTTAGAATATACAATTGAGAAAAAATGTGCTATCTCATTTTGAGCAATTCTAGATACATTATTTTTAGTAAAAAAAAGTTTTTGGGGGACGATATTACATGTCACTCCCATATCACAGGCGATAGGTGAAGTATTAGCATAAGATTGTCACTTAGAAATGTCAAAAACTACAGAATCTTTGTTTTTTTCTCGGTGGGGGGTTGTTGGCGATGAACATTGATCCAAGAATGGCTTATTGCAGGCACTGTTCAGAAAAATAGCAGCAGCATTGCCAGGAATGGAAACCTTGTCGACTGCTAAATCAGAAGGCATGGTTGACGTTAATCTCAACTCTACCAACTCAAATTCAGGGCAGTCTCAACAGCAGTCCGGAGGGTGTGCCTGTTGATCTCTTTCGTACGATCCCCATTTCTCCTTCTGATCTTCTAAGTGTCTGTAGAGATCTTCTTCCATAGCAGGATTTCAGGAGTGGCCATGTTTGACACTTTTTTTTGGCGGTGGGGTGTTAAAAGATGCAGGGTACACTTTATCATAGTTTCATTATTAGAAATGGTGTGCATTTCTCAGCTCTTATATGTATCAATTTTCTTGTACTGAGGCGTTTAGGTATATTATTGTGTTTAGTTTTGCAACGTTGTTCCTCGGCCTCGATCATATGGAACTTCTGGTCATGTGTTTCTTTATTTTGTTCATGTGGTTCTTGTCACCGGTTTGAACTTTGCACGGGTGAGTTCTTTCACCAAGTGCCCTTGAAAACTACGGGTTGGAAGGGTTATTTTTTTCTCAAACTTATGCATGCGGACACACACACACACACACGAAATGCTTATTTGAAAATATTCATTTGCGTATGCTAGGTATTATGTTTTTTATGGTACGTTACGGTAACCTCACTTTTACAAACCGTCAAGTTTTTCTATGTAGTATTGTAGCCCCCCCCGGAGTCATCAATGACATTAACAAATAATTAATGAAAATGTATAAATAAATAAAAAGTCAAAGTTTTTGTGATTTTTGAATAACAAAGTATGATATTTTTTGGGACAAAGAGAGTATTATGATATTGGTTCAATTTGGGGTACCTAGTATGCTTTGTGGTCATGAAAATACGTAGTACTTCTTATTGTTCCTAATTCCTCAGTTTATCCTCTTCATCCTTCACATTCGAGGGGAAATGTAAGAATCACTGCCACTTAATGAAACATAGTACTCTTTCTGTCTCTATTTTGATTATAAATTACGAAAAATGAAGAAAATTTTTAGAGTGAATTTTTAAAATGGTATTTAATAACTATCTGTCTTTTCAAATTAGTCTCCAAAATTAACTAAAATCCCTGAGATACTCGTAAGTTGAGAATAATGTTTAGTTCAGTACTTCGACTAATAGTGTTAAAATAATGTTAAACTATATATTATTTTTCCAAAATGATACTCTGTAACTGTGTTTTTTCACAAATTAGTCTATTTTTGAAATAAAAATATATTAAATATGAGAAAATATTTTTAATTTTATACGACGACAATATAATATTAAAAATTATAAATATAATTTTATAAATTTGAATGTAAATATTTTAAATTATTTAGAAAAATATCATGTAAATAAAATAATGTTTAATAAATGTTAAAAATAACTATAAATACGAGCAAAAAATAACCATAAATGTTTAATACATTATATTCTTATAAATAATTGTAAATAATCTAACATGATTACTTTCAAATTTATAAAATTATATTTACAGTTTTTAGTATTACATTGTAATCCTATAAAATTTAATATATTTTTCATTATTAATGTATTTGTATTTCAAAAATGGACTAATTTGAAAAAACACCAGTTAGAAAGTACCATTTTGGGAAAATTATGTAAGGTTTAACTTTGTTTTAAAGTAGTTTTAACGGCCGTTAGTCAGGGGGACTGAACTGAGCATTATTCTCAGTTAACGAGTACCATCTCAGAAATTAATTAATTTGGTGAGTAACCAATTATGGGATGAAGTGAGTACTACTTCCTCCGTCCCAAATTATTTGCAACGTTTTCGGAAACTTTTGTTTATTTTTACGTTTTCATTGGTTATTTGATAAAATAAAATATTTTTGACACCTCTTATTTCGAAGAACTTTTCATGTACTCCCTCCGTCCCATTTTATAACGCCTGTTTCGGTTTACGATGTTTGACTGAAATTATTTTCAAATCATTTTATATGACAAATGGTATAGTGTTAAAAAATAAAAATTACATATTATAATACTACATCAAAAAATCTACAAAACTAGTAGTGACAATAGAACTTTATTTTATCAGATTGCTTACGAAAATAGAGAAAGAAAGTGAATAAAGTTCGACCATGTGAATAGTGAACATGCATTATAATTTGGGACAGAGGGACTAGTTTTTTTATATGTAAATTTTATTTTTTATTTCTATACCAATATGTAAATAAAATGAATTGAAAAAACTTGATATTTTGCCTCGGGAATACAAGTGTGGCAAATATTTAGGGACGTAGGGAGTAGTTTAATGTCATACTCCGTAATATGATAAATTAATAATATCAAAAGTGATACTCTAAAGTCTAAATGTTGGCGACAGAAGAAGGAAGCCGGATCAAAGAAGGAAACTGAATCCCTTTGGGATTCGGTTTAGTGTCTTTCCTAGTTTGCTTAATTCTTGTTATAGTAGGAATAGAAATATGGTAGGAATAAAAGTTTACTTATATGCTTTACTCTCTTCCTATATAAAGAGGGTTAGACCTTTGTATTCACAAGAACAATTCAATATACAAACTATTTTCTCTCTTATTAATTTTCTACATGGTATCAGAGCAAGTTTTGAATTATTGAGACCTCAAACACGCTTCTTCCCCTGCCGGTGGGCATACACAATTCAATGCCTACTGGCGGGATATTGTAATTTTTGATTTTCTTTGATTGTTCTCCCTCACTAAAGAATATCATGAACTCCTTTGACGAAAAACATTGCTGTCGAGGAATCCCGCCCAACCATCAATCTTGAAGAAGTTGTCCGAGAAGGGTTGTTCTACAGAGACAAACAACTATTTCCTTAGTAGGCAATAAAAAAGTCGGCGTTCAGGGTGTTCGAAAAGAATGGCGTTCCCCCTGTTTGTTCGAATACGGTGAAAGTTCGAAAAGAATGGCGTTCCTTTACTCGACTGATTATTCGGCGGATTCGAAAAGCTTGGCGTCTCCGTTGAAGAAAAAAAACTGAAGTGTCTAGATGACACTTAGACAACGATGGCAGCGACTTCCTCAAGTTTTGCTGCTTTGTTCAATCTCTTGATGTCCAAGCTGGGCATGTTGAACTCTCATGCTCCAGCTTGAGGGGGGTGTTGGCGACAGAAGAAGGAAGCCGGATCAAAGAAGGAAACTGAATCCCTTTGGCATTCGGTTTAGTGTCTTTCCTAGTTTGCTTAATTCTTGTTATAGTAGGAATAGAAATATGGTAGGAATAAAAGTTTACTTATATGCTTTACTCTCTTCCTATATAAAGAGGGTTAGACCTTTGTATTCACAAGAACAATTCAATATACAAACTATTTTCTCTCTTATTAATTTTCTACACTAAATTACTCCGTATATTACTTTCTCTGTTCTAAAAAGTTGCTCTCATTTTGACTTTTAAGAAACTTAAGGAATAAATATTTTTGTGTTGACTTACCAAAAATATCCTTGATGTGATGGGTAAAAATAAGATGTGATGTGTAGATTATTAGTAAAAAGTATGATGTGATAAGTATGTTAAAAATTAATAGAGTTAAAAATAATTTTTAATAGAAATAAGAATAATTTTATGACACAAGTAAAAAAAAAAGAAGAAGGAAAAGAGTTTTCCGACAGAGAGAGTATTATATACCTAATCATAAAAAGCTACTCGGTAGAATTGAGTTGAGTGAAGAGGCAATAACTAATTTTTTCCCCGGTGGTGAAAGTGTAAAACAAACGCAAAATTTTATGAATAATGATGGATAATTATTACTCCGTAGTAATTATGAATTATTATCATGTTCACTTGTTTTTTCAAAAAAAAAAAAGATAGTCCACTTGATTTGTTCTTTGAACAGTAACATTTCACTTTCTCACTAAAAAAATACGGAGTATGTTAGAGTATATAAGAATCATTCCTGGGCCACAACCACAAGCTTGACCTTTGGTTGAGTTGGTTCCTTAACATGGTATCGGAGCCTTGATGACCAAGAGGTCACGAGTTCGAAACTCACTGCCACCCAGTTTAAAAAATTAAGGTTTCACGTGCAAGGTTCAAAGAGGTCACGCCTGCACGTGAGGGGGCGTGTTAGAGTATATAAGAATCATTCCTGGGCCACAACCACAAGCTTGAGCTTTTGGTTGAGTTGGTTCCTTGACAGAGTATTATTCTTTTTGAGAATATTTGTCTAGTTTTAATTTTTTACAATCAACTTGAATCAATCAATGACTTTAAATTAAATAAAAAACGTGGCATTAATTATACATAACAGAAATATTCTTTTGACTTTAAAAAAATGACTTAAGAAATGATCCAGACACCTACAACATTCAGTTGGTTAAACTAATTGTTCTTGCCCATAATNCCCCCCCCCCCCCCTCCCCTCGCCCAGCGTAAAGAAGGGGTACGAGCTGGGGGCTGGGGCGGAGTTTAGCCAACGGAAAACTTCTTTGATCGCAAAAGCATCATGATATATGGGGTGAGGAAAGGGGGGTATGGAGGTTCTCAATTGCACAAAAGGTAGGAGAATAGAGGGGTGGGTACGTAGAAAGTTGGCCTTAGGAGAGAGATCGAAGATATCACTCATGATGACGACCATATACTACCTACGTCCCACTCTTTTTGTCTAGTTTTGACTTTTGGAATTGTTCATCTAAGCACTTTGGCTCATTAAATTCTCTCAATGTATAAATCTAAAAATAGTCATGTGTGATCTTGTTTGATTTGTCTTAACATATAGATTATTAATATATAATTTTTATAATTTTTTAATATACAAATTACAAGATAAAATGGATTAAAGAAGTGCATTGGATGGTGTGCAAAAATGAAAGTGGACAAAAAGAGTGGGACGAAGGAAGTATATTACTAGGGGGTTTTGATTTTGTGGGACAGGCATATATCTCTTGGTGGATCTAAAGTTTATCGTCGACTTACATGTGTGAATAAAATAATAGTTTTTACTATTTAAATAAGTATTTGTTTTGCTTAATAAAAAGAATTTTTTATGTAAGAAAGTTCACAAAAATAATATACATTCAAGGTGCACCAAAGAAGCATTTGCCTTGTAGGTATAGCAATTTTTTCTTATTTTATTTATTTTTTTAAAAATATACGTGTAGTAATATTTGATCATTTCCATTGATCCTAATTAAAATTATTGTTTATAAATAAAAGAATAAAATCATTATTCTACATCACTCTTTTTCTTGAATGAGTGGGGGATTGCTCCGTATTTAGACGGTGTCGTTCTAACTTCTAACCGACTTCTACTTCTCTTTCTAGTTTCTCCTTTCTCAATTGGCAAAAGTGAAATTTGCACTGAATAGGACTAAAACACAAGTCATGTTGGGGATTCCTCTAAGTCCCACACCGGAGGGAGAAGAAAAAATGGACCAAAATATATAGGTTCACCCAACCCCATTAGTATGAGGCCTTTTGGGAAGTGCCCAAAAAACAAATTCGTGAGGGCTTGGCCCAGAGCGGACAATATCATACTAATGCGGGGTTGGGTGAGGGCACGCGCAGTCCCAACATGTGGTATCGG